AATAAATTAATTTACTGAAAATTTTGTCAAGACCCAAACTTAATATTTAAAGTGTGCAATGTGTTTTAAAATGCATTTGTAATATATGAAAAATGAATGAACTAATATTATAACGTGACAAAAACAAAACACCAAGCCATATGGTGAGACATTCAGTATTTGTAAATTATTTGTAAGTGAAAAATATACTGCAAATAATACCATACATTGGAATCAATATGAAAATTAAAAAAAAAAATTATGATTGTGAGCCATAACCAAAAAACAAAAAAAAAAAATAATAATAATAATACGGTAAAAATTAATAGCGGTAATATGTAAAAAAAAACAAATATATATATATTTAAATTCCCATTAACAGAAAGATATTGCGCTGCCAATTAGTTCAATTGAGACGCGGACAACTTGTGATGTGTGTTGTCTATGTGTAGCAAATGGTATAACGGTTTATGTGTGGGCGCTTACAACTTACCGCTAGCTTTGCGACTAAACATATTCGTTATGGATTTGCTGATGCTTTTGCGCTTATTATCGCTACGACGGAAGGGATCATACGACGAGGAGGGCGTCACTTGTACTGGCGACGCTGACGATATGTTTGCGAATGTCGTTTGTTGACCCAGTCGTTGTTGCTGATGCTGCGGTGGCAGCGTATTTTTGGCAATGTGCACTGGTGAATTTTCACTCGCCTTGCGAGCGTTTATCAAACGAAATTCGCGATCAATAAGATAAGAGCGCGCCACGTCGACAATTTCAAGTGAATCCTCACACATGGGCAGTTCCGCATCGATTTGTTGCTTAAGTATGCGTAACATTTGATGAAACGATGGTGTATCCGAAGTGATAACTATATCTGGACGCATTAGTATGGAATGCACTAGGGGTAGCGGATAGCAGGAGAGGCGCGTAATCAAACCAGTGAGATGCAAATTTACATATAAGGTATTGCTGGTGAACGTTTGCAGTTTACCCCATATCGCATTCAAGAAGGGACCTGAACAAGTAAGATTTTATTTATTTTGTTTTTAAATACATTATATGAGAATGAAATGTAAATACCTAAGCTTACTGTCCCTTGCGCGAAAAGATCCTCCGAAAAATCCAAGTCGGTGAGCACTAATTCACTATGATTACTTGAGACGCGCCAAATTTCTTTTCTATATTGCTTTTGTAACGTGCCCAAACTATTGCCATTGCCGCTACTACTGCCACTATGGTCCAACTCAACTTCGCCAGTGCTCGTACTTACCATTTGCATAGTAGAATTGGCAGCAGAGTCATTACATTCGCCGCCTTCATCTTCGACGGGACGCCACCTGAACGATTCATAGCCACTGGACTCACCAATGGACTGCAGGCTGTCCGGTTGCGCTGTTTTCTCCACAGCACTTCTTGTGCCCAACACAGTGTGTGTACTATCATATACATGCGACGCGTCCGCCATTGCGCCCACACTAAATTCATTAAAGAACTGTTTCACCAACTCCAATGTTTGTGCTTGTTGAGCGCGTATATTCTTCGGCGGCCACTTCTGATATTTGTATGCATTGGCCCATTTGGCGCAGGCGTTTTTGCATTGTGTGATGCGGCAGTGTGCCTCGAACAGATACGCATGGAAGTTGGCATAGAGACTGGTGCCCGTATGTACGCCATAGTAGTTCCAATTTGCACCGATCGTTTTACTCATTGTAGATGTTGGCGACGGCAACGCCACGTGTGATGGTTGTGTGGTCACGGTGTCGCCAAGTGATTTGTGCTTGGTCAATTCGCGGGCGCGTTTCATTACGTCCGGCGTCAGGTCTAGAAAGAATTCGACGGTATTTATATAAGGATCAATTTTATTGATCTTGTGTCGATGCGAAATCGGTACATGCTTGCCAGGCAGTATGTACTTCAGTAGCAGTTCCAGCATTAAATCCTCACAATGTAGGCCAATCAATGTGTCGAACAATGCCATTGTTACCATACACAAATTCGCGTCCGTGGCGCCCAAACGGTCGATTAATGTGTCCAAAATGCGTTCGCCATCGAATTTTTCAGTGTCCAGCAGGAATTTTACAAAAGCGCGCAGTAAACTGGGCTCAGTAACGGACCTGAGTATAAGGTCCAAATAGGACATAGCCGATATTTGTGACTCAATGTTTGTCTGGAAATGTTTGCCTTTCAATGTCTGTAAAAATTATTTATGAATTGTTTCGATTTTTCGCTTGGTGTTGATTAAACTTATATGGGTGAATAACTTACATACATAAGATCACAGAGGAGTTAGCAAAATAGAAAAATGAATACAAAATAAAATATAAGCAATGAAATAGTTATAATTAAAAAATTTTACACTGAAATGAATAAAAAACTTAAAAAAAATTTAGGTAATAAAAAATAGTTTTGTCCGTTTTTTCTTAATTAAAAAAACTCATAGTCGACATTATAAATCATTGGTATTAAAATTTATTGCTAACGATATCTTCGAATCGGTGAATCACATTCAACGAATAATGTGTTACAAATTTTTATAACAAATGTTTACATATACTTATGTTTGTATGTATGTACAGCCTTAGGTGATTCGAGTTCTTAAATATTTACTTAGAGAGAGATAATATTTTGCAACACAAAGGGTTATCTAGCATAAATTAAAAATAATAAAATTGTTCATGAACCAACACCACAGACAAATCGAAGACAATTCGACAAATGTGAAAAGAGCACGCAAATGCTTACCTGTAATATTGCAGGCCCCAGTACAGGGACAATAAAGCCCTGATATAGGAAATCTAATAACTGATTCTTTATCATTTCATGCGCGACTTGCACCACAGCATTGCAAAACTCCAAAGCATTCATAAATAATGTCAGTTCGGGTATTTCCGTCACATCGTCCGGAGTTATGCGATGCCAATCAATCGATGTTAATTCTATAGAGTTCGGTAGGCGTGAATACAAACCGCCTAGGCCGGTTACCAAAAGCGGGCACATGGATGAATACTGCGCAATGTAGGTGCCGACATTAGAATTTTTCTGCGACAGCGACATGCAGAGTAATAGCGCATCCCGCGCCTGATGCCCGATACTTCCTTCACGATGTACGTACGGTATAAGTAAGGAGAATATGATGAAACTGTAAAAAATATGATAACAATAAACATATAAAATAAAAAAACTTCCATATGTGAATAATTACTTGGTGCCAGAATTGTTTCTGCTTGAGCGTTGTATTTCGTCACTGTTTGTTGTTTGTTTGTGTTGCTCCTGCTCCGCCGAGAAGAAGAATAGATCGAGTAGATGCACATTTTGCATTAATACTACGCAGAGTTGGTTAAGCAATATTACTAAACGTTTTTCCAAATCTGCTTGGAAAATTTCACCTTGGCTTGATGCGAGTATTTTCAAAAGTGGCCTTAAGAAAGGCTCATGACAGAGTAATTGATGTCGCGAGTGACTAACAAGTAGTTCATACAATTTAAGTTGTTCTAGGCGTACGGCATCAGCATAACGTCCCGTTGTACGACCCCATTCATAGAGTTTATCTAGCAGATTTTCACTAAGCATATATTCCAAACATGGCGCAGGTGGCGGTGCAGCATCAGCGGTAGGTAGTGCAACTTTATTGCAATGATGTAGTTCCACCAGAAGCAGTGTCACCATAAAATCCAAATGTGATACCACACCTAATACATCGTCGTGTGACGGCAATCGTTGTGGTGGCTCTGAACGTTGTATGATTTCGTAGGCTTGTTGCCAATGTTTACAAAAGCTATCATAACATGCTCGCGGATCACAATCTGTCGCTGCGTCGATTGGCCTTTGCCTGAGAGCTGTTGCTGTACTGGAGACACCAGTACCATTGCCATTGGTTGAAGAAAGAAATGATATACCATTTCCGCTGTTGCGTGTTAAACTCTGCCGCAGGGGGCTAGAACGTAGCCAACTCATTTAGTATGTATTTAAAAGTTATAGATAATTGAACGCAGTAGTTGTGGTTGGCTTATGATAGCAACTTAGCCTCAGGGTAGAATTTGTTATCAATGTAACATTAGTCACAAATGCGAATAAAAATGTGCACTTGTACAGTGGTCTGTTGCATTTGGCGAACTAAATATTTAAAAAAGATAATTTAAATCTAAAAATAAAAAAGAATATTAAAAAGATACAATTTAGGATAACAATATAAAAATACACTTGCCAAGGTAACATAAACAATTACACAAACACAGATACATACATTTACGCATATTATTATCATCCAATATTATCATTTACTTCGATGTCGATGTGGCCAGTAACGAAAATGGATAGTACACCTTATTTTGATATCTATTTACAGTATCACTACAGATATTTGAAATAATTTGAAATAGTAATTACATTTGAGTGTTGCTCCATGGAGCAGCGAACTAAATATATACACTCTTCCTCCACAATCCCCTCTTGTTGTATCAAAATACTCCACCTCTATTATTCGCACTATACTATGTGTGTTGTTTTCTAAAGCAGCATAATTTTTCGTTTATATTTTCACTTGAGCAATTTCAAATATTTGTGCAATTTCGAGAACGGATATGGGATTTTGTATGAACAATGTTAAAATATAGTCTTAAAATTCAATTAAAGTACGTTTTAAAACCATATTTAATACGAGCAAAATTTTAATCAACCATCCGAATAGAGGAAAAAGAAAGTCCGTGACTAAAGTCACTCGTTCACAATAATCAGAAATTATTGATTCTCGCTAGTGATGCACAAATTTTATAACAAAAATTTCTTTAAATAAAAGTTTTTGAATAAAAAAAGTTGTTTAAGGAAAGTACATTTTATTTTAAATGAGAATACCTTATTGATTTCATAACTACAAGTTTCAGCAGGTCATTAAAACATAAATTGTAAACAAATTTATTCGATACGCACTTAAACAACATCGATTGATTCTCGATATAATGCACTAAACAGCTGATTTACTTGTGAATTTGCAATTAAACGCCCACATACAATTAATTGTTATTTACTTCTGAATAAATGTGTTTGACTTTTTTTATTTTAGCCATTTAATATATTTATAAGTTAGAGGAGAGTATTGTAAGATATAAGAAAATGTCCAATCCGTTTGGCGAACCAGATGATGACGAATCTTGTGAGATTTTGGAAGGTTTTCTCTGTCCAATATGTAGAGAAGATCTCAAATCAGCTGAATTCTTAACTGTGCATTTCGAAAGGTCTCATGCAGAACAGCAGGATGCTCTTAAATCAGTTTTTAAAGATATAATATCAAAAGCTAAGAATAAAATCCTTAATTTAGACGAAACATTTGACCTCTCCAGAAGCTTCGATAAAAATGCGACTATTAGCGGAGCCGCTAGCAGTGGAGGAACATCAGGTAATTTGACGACAAATGCCACTTCGGGAGCGGATAATAATGGTTTAAAAATGAGTAATGCACGAACACGTATGAATGTCTTCAATTTTATGGATCGTCAAGAAGTTGGCGCCGAGTATAATCATTTGGAGTATTTTCAATCGATAAGAAACCCCCGACTGGAGCGATATGCAAGTGAAACGAATAAATTGATTATTCGGCTGCATAAATTATTAACCAATTTACCAATGGATCCCGTACTGCGAAAACAACATGAACGCAATGTGAGAATTTAATTTAAACCTCATATAAAATTTATTTACTCTTATTTAATTATGAATTCGTAGATTGTTACATGGTTGGATGGAAGCTCAGTGAAATTATGCCCCAGTTGCGCTAAAAACTTTCACATTGCTCGCCGTCAACATCACTGCCGTTTGTGTGGAAGTATTATGTGCAACGATTGTTCAAAGTTCCTTCCAATTGAAACTGCATGTAAGTAATTTAATTGTCACCTATTCGTATGCCATAATAAATATTGTATTCGTTACTTAGTACAACTTGCCAGTTTGGCTACTTCACAAAGCGAAGCTATCATGCAAAATTCTTCCGATGCGAATAAATCAAATCCACAGCACCATGGTATCCGTTCCTGTGATCATTGTTTGTGGCTTTTAGAAACACGGCAAGAAATGCATGAGAGTCGAACATACCGTCCGCTTATTTCACAAATTTATGCAGATATACAAAAACTTCGCAAAGATGTATTACCCGATATAGAAATGTATTTAAAGATTGTTGGTAGTCTTTATGATGGAGAGTCAATTTTCACCATTGCCGACGCAAGTGCGTTAAGGGGAAAAATTGGTCATGTGGCTGAAGCTATTGATTTGCGGAGTAAACGTATATTAGCTATACCTTGTCAAGAAGGTAGTCGAGAAGGGGCCCTAAAAAAAGCCATACGTTTATCATGCAGCCAACTAATCAAAGACAAAATTCTGTCAATACCACCCCTACCTGAGGAAGAAGATATACGAAAAATTCAGGACCGTAAACGAATGGAGGCAGAACAACGTATTGAAACCGAACGCCGTCAAGCAATGGAAGCATATGAACGACAAGCATTAGCAAATAGCGCTAGTGGCGGTCAAACCAGAGTAAATAATGAGAACGATTATGCGTACGGGGTAATTTTTTTTTTTTTATTATTATTTAGTATGATGTTATTGTATTTTTCTTTGCAGTCTGACTTGCGATCTTTAGATAATTGGTCGGCGCAACCAGTAAATATATCACAAAGTGAAGATCCACTTATTGAGCAAATAAATATTATTAAGGGCTACATAAAACAAGCTCGACAAGAAATGAATTTCGAAGTAGTGGAGACATTAGAACTTAATTTACGAGAACTGCAAAGGGAATTCTACGAAAGGCAAAGAGCTTCTAGAGAACTGAATCAAAACGCGGGAAGAAATAAACAAGCAACATAGAGGAGAACCTACAAAACAAATATTGTATACATTAAAATAGGGAAAATTGTAAGTGAACATTGTTTGAGTAATAAGTGTCCAAACTTGGCTTAAAACAAACTTATAATTAGCTATACCTTAAATTTTAGCAAATAAGAAAACGAGTCATGGCATTATACATTTCTCAATGTTTTCTTAATTATATGACAAAGAATGTTCACCCTAATTGATATTTTTACACTAAAAGTGTAATATATTATATATACTCCACATGAGCATTGCGTGTCAATTAAAGTGGAATTTTCATCAATTCAATGAGATAGTTATTCATAAAATGAAAATATATTCCTACATTCCGCGTCCAACAATTTCTTGCTTTAAATATTTTCAGAGAAATGTGTACGAAAATTGTTTTTTTGATTGTTGCCTTTATTATAATTTACTAAAGAATACAAAGATTTATAAATCTATTTTCATGTTAATAATCTATAAAAAATTGTGCATTAAAGTGCGTTTGAAAATAGACGGCTTTTTTCTTAGTGTTTATAATATTTGCAAAATTTAAATACCAATTTATAGCAAATGCAATATTGCTAAAATGATTAAACTGCTATGCAATAGCATATCTTTTGGTTCTAAATTTCAGATGTATATTATTATGTAATATTCTTAAGCTTTTAGCCCATGAGTTTCTACTAAAGCCTTAACCTTCTCTACATAAGCCGTTTTGGCATCATCCTGGGATGTACCTTTGCGAGTATTCCATGCTTCCCACTTAGCTTTGCCCTTGAAGTCCAAGAAGCCAGGCTTATCTGTAAGTCAATATAAATAGAAAAATCGTATTAGTAGTACGAATTAAATATAGTTTTGTATGCGTGGAAATTTTGTATAGTAATAACAGATAACACTTCAATAGAAACATTGAGTCACCTTATAAGACTTAGTGTTTAAGAAATTTTACCAGTATGAGTATAGGAGTGAATGTTATACAAATTATAAATATAATAAATTATCAATTTACTACTTTAATCATAATCGCAAAAAAATCGTATATAAAATTTATCAATTCATCAGTTTAATCATAATCGCATTAAAATTATAAAATGATAAGAACCAATTAAACTTCCATGAACGTCACTAGTTACTGAGTTAATGATATACCTGTATTGCAATCTCCTACAGTTGCCTGTTTAAATAAACTGTAAAGTTCCAATAAATCATTATCGGATGGTGTAGAGTTAAGATTCTTTACATTTTCAGCGGCTTTATCAAATTCCTATGAAGAAAGAGGCAAGGTCAAAGTTTAAGCTATGTAAAAACAGGCCATGGGTGACCGCACCCTGATACCCGTTAGCTAGATTAAAAATTTATATTCACCTCTTGGCTGGCCATTTTGTAAATCGTTAAATTCTCTGTAGAACTGGAACTGCAAATAAATATTTGCAATTGTTAGCAAAAATACAAAAATGTATATTTTAGTCTTAAATTAGTATACGTATATAAAAAATGTACCTGCTGTGAGCTTAACGCCTGATGTATAATTGATAAGTGAAATTAGCCGGTGTGGTGTGTTTTTTCCCATGTGTGTGAAGTCGACAATGGAGCCAGATTAGTTTGAATAAAATTTACAATTTTAAACTGTAAAGGGAGTCATTAAATTGTCGTCAATTGAAAATCAGTGATAGCTGGTTGGATAATAAATATAAAATTATAAATTTTTAAACGAATCAATCATAAATTTTGCATAGTATTCGGTAGTATCAGTATTCTATCGAATTATCGGTTTGAATTCCTTTACAGAGCAAAATGCAACACTGTTAGCTCTCGCTGAGCGAGAAAACTATATAAGCTACGAATGAACATGATAAGCAAATGAATGGCAGAAAAGAAAAACATTTTTTTGGTAAAAAAAGAAGTAAACGAGTGATTATTGAATGAAGAGTGGTGAATAGGCATGTAATCTGTATTATTAATAAATTAAAAGTAATTTGTGGCGGAATTGATTACAAAGATTGATTGTGAAGAAACATAAGATAAAACAGAAATATTTCCTTTAAGAGATAAGATACTCGCAAATGTAAGAATAGGCAGAATTTGCGGAGTATTATTGAGTGCCACAGATTTTGAATCAATTAAAAGAAAAGCAAAATTGCAGTTAAGTGCACAATAAATTGCACCTTTGTCCGGGTAGAGTTCAGTTTAAGAGAGTGGAAACCATTCCATACCTGCTGAAGGTTAACAGGCATCAATTGTTCTACTAAATCGCTGTTGCAACGAATTCAGTGGTATATAATCAAACCTTGAAAGACAGTACGTGGTCCACAAAATCTACACAGCTATTGGCCAGGTGCGCAAACATGTGGAATTTGATGTATTCTTCATGTGTTTTAATTCATTTAACAATTGTTATTTTTTTGCAGACTTAGAGTGCTAAAAACTTGAGTAAGGAAACATCCGGAAAAGGAATTAAGACTCAATACCTTCAAATTTAATTATGACCACAATAAATATAAATTCACGTAAAAGTCCAATGCTGAAAAAGCAGGGCACGGACCAATGGGTGAAGCTTAATGTGGGTGGCACATATTTCCTTACAACAAAGACTACGTTATCCCGCGACCCAAATTCGTTTCTATCGCGTCTAATACAAGAAGATTGTGATTTAATATCAGATCGGGTAAGCAGCCAAACTAATCATATTAGTGATAAAATAGTCAACTATAAAATTTCGTAAAAGAGATTCGTTGATTACTGACTGATAGCGACCATAATGCTTATTGATTTAAATTCAATTCCTTGACAATTCGAAAAACTGCACGCGACTAATAACAGCACTTAGTGCTATGTGTGAAGTTATGTGAGCTAAAGCAGGTCATTATATTTAGGGCAAAAGTGGGGGTGGCGAATGTTTACCAGCACACATAAACAGAAATGCGCCCTAATTTGCTATTAAGTTCAAAGTCAAACGAAACATGTTAAAATAAAGATTTTGATTATCTCTGTTTTGGTTTTTCTTCACCAGAACGCAATATATACATACATAAATAATGACAGTGTTCATTCAATGCAATTTTACCACTGCATTAAGGCTATGTCATTAGTTCATTTCTTTTATATTTGTTTACTGTGTATTTCATTTGTTGATATGTTCTTAGGATGAAACAGGTGCTTACTTGATTGATAGAGACCCAAAATACTTTGCGCCTGTGTTGAACTACTTGCGACATGGTAAACTCGTTTTAGACGGTGTATCCGAGGAAGGTGTTCTAGAGGAAGCCGAATTTTATAACGTCACACAACTCATAACATTATTGAAAGAGTGTATAAATCACAGAGATCAGGTGGGCATCACTAAATTTTATTTATTTATTTAGCGGCGATGCATTCATTATATGTAATGATTTTTATTACTCACTTTAGCGACCACAAGCCGATAAAAAGCGTGTATATCGTGTATTGCAGTGTCGCGAGCAAGAGTTAACACAGGTAAATACAAGCGCACCGCACGAGTTTATATATTATATTAATTTGTAATTAATTTTCTTACTAATAGATGATCTCAACATTATCGGATGGTTGGCGTTTTGAGCAATTAATTAGTGTGGGAATGCAATACACGAATTATGGACCATTCGAAAATAATGAATTTTTATGCGTAGTCTCAAAAGAATGCGGCACAACGTCAGGTCGTGAATTGGAACTGAACGATCGTGCCAAAGTGCTACAGCAGAAAGGATCTAGAATGTAAGAATCTGTGTATTCAAACTAATAATTCATCACTGCAGTCGTATATTATATTTATAAAGTAAACAATTTTTTTATATATAGTACATACATACTTACATGTTATGTGTGTGGTATTGGGTAGTCGATAAAACAAGATTATTAAATGCAAAATTTATATATATAGGAAACTTGTCGCGCATGGAAGATAATACTTTCAATCGTATATTTTAGTGAATAGCGCGAATTTGTATTTACCGTTATAATGACGGGTAGTAGTAAGTGATTACTGCGCAAAAGCAGTTATATTCTGCTTATAAAGTAGATTGACACTTCATCACTTCTTTATAATTTCTCAAGTTAACTTTTTACTAACAGAGTCACCACATTGGGTTATGTGTTTGTTTTCTTTTTCCTTTTTTTTTTTTGTAATAATTTTTACACAAGTAATTAACGTTTATCATTAATCATTTTTATTTAAAATTAAAAAAAAAAATCGTATGCTGGTTGAAAATACAAATATAGGTTATTTTTTATCACATCATTTAAAATCATTTTTTTTTTTTTGGAAATTCAAATATAGGCTAGTTATACCACATTGACATAATCAAATGTATGAGATAATATAGGTAATCTTGTTTGTAACACTGAAAATGTAGCCTTAGCACCCCGTTGCAATCATCGCTTTTGATATTCGAAAAATGTGGACTGAAAAACTTTAAACTCAATACGCAGCAAAAATAATTAAATTCTGAATACGATTAATGCCACCAAAATTAGTTCCCCACCGATGATGTGGTGAAAAAATTCTTTGTTGGATAAACTGTAAACATAAACAGAATGCGTTTTTAAATGTGAATGCGTTAGGTGGGCTATTATTAATAAGTAGGGTATTTGTGAAAAATATATAAATTAAGTTTTGTTACAAATCAAATTAAAAAAAAAATAATAATAATTACAGATGCACATACCTTTTTTTGCCTATTTCGAGAAAAGTAAGATAATCAAAGTTAATAAGATTCTCTATAAAATTCTTATAAAAGTTGCATATGGCATTTAAGTCGCCGTGTTTGCCATTTTTAGTCCTTATTTATTTTGTAACAAACTGAAGTAATAAATGATTGTACCGCGGGGGACTTAGTGAACGTAGTACGCACAAAAATCCAAGTAAATGCCTCGTTTACGAACATTTTTTTCTTATACAAGTAAAAAAATAGTAGCAAAAAAAACAATAATTATAATAATAAATAAATAAATAATAAATATAATAAACCCAAGAGAAATAGACTCTTGCTATAATAAGTTAGGTCATGTCCACATGAAAATATTCAAATTCTATAACAAATTAATTTACTTAAATAGTAATATGTATGTATATTTAACTCAATAATGAAATTTTTTGTTGCATAATATTTACATAAGATACATAATTACTAAGCCAAGAGCAATTATGCAAGTGTACAGTGTACTTATTGTAGCGTATATATGTATACATAAGTATATAAATTTATATGCAATAACTTTATTGTAACTAATATACGTTGTTAAATCTGACAACCAGCAGCTTTTATCCACGCTTATGCGCGATGAAAATGTTGAAGCCCGCTTTAAACACTAAAAAATATTTGTAATTGAGAACACACTTCGTAAGATTTTTATAGCAAAATGTGAAAACATTATTTTTCGATTAGCAACTTCAAAATAATTTTCAAAAAAGCAATAATTTGAAGACTAAATTTACGTGCATACCTATGTATGTATATTTGTATATATATATATTGTATGTTGTATATTTTATATATGTATAATTAGTTGTATGAGCGATTTATAGCTTTTTGTATGTGTATGTGTGTGTATGATTGAGTGCATGTGCGCGCAGTATTAGTACTCACCGCTTTTTAATTTGAAAAACGTTAATGTTTTCAGCTTTTTAATTAAAAAAAGCTCCGTGGGGAAAATGTGTATATTTTGTGCTTTTTAGTTTTTAGTAATTGGTCAAGAGCAGGCTTTTGTTTCGAAAATTTAACACTGGAAAACAGTTTGTGTAGTACAGCTACGGTTATACATTTAAGTATAAGTCTTCAAGCTTTGTAGGTAAAAGAGTTTCAATTTAAAAGATACGGAGAAGTGTAATGCAATTTTCTAAGTTAAAGATGAAGAAAACAGAATTCGATATTTATTTATTTATTTTTTTACTGTTACCATTATTAATGTAATAATTTCCATACTATTAAAAAATATTAGTGTTCAAATAGCTAAAATTAAAGCAAGTCAGAAAAAAGATCTCAAACAAATACTTGAAGACTCCTTGATTTTAATATATGTATATTCTTTAAAAAAAATCCAAAAACGAAGAAAACCAATTAGTTCACATTCCGTATATGAGTGAAATAATTAAATTAAAATCGTCTTGAAAAACCATTACATTCTACTTGCATTTAAATCAATATCACTGCTGAATTCTGCATTCAAGTGTTCTATTTTTTATTTTATATACGTTTTTGAGATATTGATCTGAAATTTTCCCCAAGTTAATTTTTCTTCTAAAAGCTACACATTTGTTGGAAACGCCGATATCGGACTATTATACCATATAGTTGCCATACAAACTGAACTTAAGTTCGTCACCATCTTAAAAAACCTGAACTGAATTTAATAATRATAATTTGTTCATTGTTAAAATTTAGCATATCTATACATACATATGTATGTACAACCAGTCATGCTGGGGAATTTCATGTATTTCATATTAGCTTGTTGCTTGTATTGTAGTAAATTCGTATGTGTGTGTTTATACATGGCGTTCGTGCATAAAATTGTAGTATTTAGTAAACATAAAATTATAAATATATCACCAAAATTATTTCT